AAAAGTTACCCAGTACCCCTAAGACCAACTTTCCAAATGTTAAACACACATATACCTTGAACAAGATTGGGTACAAGCATCTCAAGAATTGTATCACAGTAATAGAAGCTGTTAGGAAAGTGTGAATAAAATTGATACCCACTGTAAAAGACTGGAAAAAGCTTAAAAAGATTTAGAGACTATTATGTGTCCTACCATTGAGGAAAAAAGTGTAGGAAAGAAATAAAGCATTTACCCAACTGTTACCAAGTCAAGCAGTTTTTATAATCACCAACAGAGGTGAGTCCTGCTGTGCCTATCAAATTTACTTGTGGACTAAACAGAGTATCTAGAAAATACCTAAGAGATATATTTGCCTCAATTTTAGAAATTTCTGAGACAGGTTTGATTTCTGAAAAGTAGAAATTCTAGCTTTGTGTGGGCACATCCAGAAGAACAGAGTAATTCAATGCTTTTACAGAACAAGGGCACCAGCTTTTGTTCCCTCTTCAACTCTTCCCCACTGCAGAAACTTGTGTCAGTTAAGTGATGCTGATAAATACTAACTTTTTTAAGGAATACAGGTGCATACATAGATAGTGTACATTTTTTAAATCAATTTTTTTCCACCAAAACTTACTGTTTGTTACTTTAGCTATAAACACAACATCCAATCACCTCAATGAGCCAGGATCTCACTGAGATTTTTTTTTCTGTGGTAAAGACCACAGAGGAAAATTAAGCCTTATCAGAGCAGAGAAAACAGAAAACAAATGTGCTTTATTCAGCATCACAGGAGGAAAGATCTACACAAGCCAAACAGTGAAAAAATCACAGCCAGGGGGCCACCCCAACTTCTTGTTTAGTTAATTTTAGAGCTGTTGTTTTGTGTCATCATGTTTATACCCACAAAACCTGGAGTGTTCCTGTTTGTTTTAAGTCTGGTATTCAATGTTCAAAGCTCCAGAGTACAACTAGGTCAAAGTCTAAATGAGCCTGGCAATATCATGACTTAGATGAAGAGAATTAAAAGCTTCATTAAAACAAAGCAAAACAAAGCAAAATGAAGCAAAATAAAGCACACAAACTCAAACAAACAAAAAAAACTAACAAAGAAAAAAAAAATCTTTGACCTGTAATCCAGCTAATTGATCCACGTAACACTGAGTAACTTGAAGTTCTGTCAAATCTAACTATAAAGGATAAACTCTGCAACAACTTGTAACAACTAAAGTGAGAACAGTTCACAGACTCCTGTGAACCACAAAAGTCCTGTCAAACTATTAATCTTGCCTCCATTAATTGGTTTTGACTTGAGATAAGGATGAGGTTAATTCTGCTTTGGAGACAGCAGACTAGTGGCAAGATAGAGAATCCTACTCTAGGAAAGAGAGTGGTTATTGAATGACTGTAGTTCTGCCACTTAAAGTATCCTTTTTATTTCTTATGCAAAAGTGTAACTTGAAAGTGTCCTATTCCAATTACTGATCTTGTGAAATTGGACACTCGTTAAGGACTTCACTTGCTGCATTTCTGAAACTTTTTGATATGCACTGACAGAAAGAGGAAAAGGAAAAGACATGTAATTTATAGATAGCACAGATGATTTCTGGACAAAGCAAAGAAGAGCAGGTTGTGTTAGGAATACCCTTGTGCTAAGCAATGGATGATAGAGATAAAATTTGAGATTGAGAAGTGGGCAGGCTTTTCTAAAAATAAAGATTAGGAGAGATGGAAACCAATTCCAACAATCATCTGTCCAACAAGACAGGGTTAAACTCAGAAAACTGACAGACTTTCATAGAAGTGGGTCTGCAAATCTTCTCTGCCTGGTGTGTGGAGAAAGCAGAAGATGCTCCTACTGGCACTTCTGGGCACGTACAGACCAGCATTGCCTTCCTCCTGTGCCTGACAGTGACTCAGGCCAGGAAGATCTGTGGAGAAACTCTTGTGGACATCACCCTTATCCTGAGTAGCCTTTGAGGATTCAGTCCTGCTTAGGCTGGGCAAAAGTGTCCTCCTGCCTCCAAATGCCCCATTCCCCTTCCATACCCATCACACACTATACCAGCTTTGCTCCCTCTTGCTGTGAAGACTCTTAAAAGACTTCTTCCTTTTCTCAAGTGTCTTGCATGGATGTAGGCAAAACCACATGCTTTACAGTAAGAGATGCAAAAATTTCTGTTCTTTAATCACTTGGAGTGTGATGATTCCAGTTCCATGGTCCCATAAAGCATTGTCTTTTGCCTCATGTTTTATGAAATCTTTAAAAAACCCATTCATATAAAAAAATGCAACTCTCAACAGTATTTCCCTTCCAGGCTTGCTTGAAGCTAATTTTAGATCCAGCCACAAATTCCTGCTAGTTCACAGACATCAGGGATGGTGGGGAGAAATCCTCCATCTGTTCCCTGACTTTCTAGTCATCCCTTTTCTGCCAAAGAAAATGCTACTGATAGAGAGAACCAAAAATTCCCACTACCCCTGCAGACAGGAGAGGCAGAACACACATGTTTATAAGTGTTTGGGATGCTCAGCTGTCAGTCTGGTCTTGTAGGGCCTGTAGCTATTTAATCTCCCCTTCCAAGGATGGAGGGAAGAGCATTATGTGCAAGCTGTCCTGCACCTCCACATCCCATCCCAATGCTCCTCTTTGCACCGTCACCCTGCAGAGCACAACACATGCAGGCTGCTGCAGGAGAAGCTGTGTTCAAGGGACAATGATAGCAAATACAGAGGTGTTATCCAGCTTTCTGAGAATGCCAGAACAACTTCTGTATGCTGATATTTAGTAGTAATGGAACTGATGCATTTTGTTTATCAGCTGGTGTCAGTCCCAAGGAGGCAAATTTGTGCTTGTGATGGACTTAATCACATTCATCCAGCTGATTTTGGTGGGATTTCCCATCAGCCATACTTCAGTACATATGCAAATGCCCCCTGGATCCAGAGCAAACACAAATGACCCTGACACAGCTGAACTCCAACTTCCACCAGCTGCTGGAGACAGCCAAGGAGCAGCTCTAGCTGCAATACAAGCTGGAAAGAGTAAAACCACACGGTGGCTTTGTTCTGTTGTGGCAACACCAGCAGTGAGTAGGCAGGAAGGATGTTGAACAGCTCTCCCTACACACACATGCCTATTCAACATGTGAGTTGGCAAGGTTTCCTAACCCCAACCAGCAAGAAAGCCCCACACAGCCACTCACTTCCCTCCACTGGGATGGAAGAGAGAACCAACCCAGTAAAAGTGACAAAACTGGTGGGTTGAGATAAAGGCAGTTTAATAGGAAAGCAAAAGTTTTGCATGCAAGCAAAGCAAAACAATGAGTTTATTCCCTGACTCCAAGGGCAGGCAGGTGTTCAGCCATCCCCTGGAAAGCAGAGCTTCATCACACACAACAGTGACTTAGGAAGATAAAAGTCATCACTCTGAACATCCCCCCTTCCCACTTCATCCCCCAGTTTATTGCTGACCATGATAACTTATGATCTGGAAAATCCTTTGGGTCAGTTGGGGCCAGCTGTCCTGGCTGTGTTCCCTCCCAGCCCCCTGTGCACCCCTTCACTGGTGGGATGGGAAAGGCCTTGGCTCTGTGTAAGAACTGCCCAGCAGTAGTTAAAACATCCCTGTGTTACCAACACTCTTTCCATCACAAATCCAAACACAGCCACACACTAGCTGCTCTGAAGAAAATTAATTCTATCCCAGCCAAAATCAGCACACACCACAGTTTTCTGAAAAGAGTATTCCCCACAGAAATATCTTGTGCAGACACAAACACATTTGAGCTACAAGTAGGATAATTTACAAAAAACAACATGTATAAATCAGACCTGGACACAGAGCTGTCACCCTCGGCAATCCCTTCCTGGTTAATGGAGTTTTAAGAGTGCAAGGATTCTATCTTGGGACTCATTGTCAACACGCCCACCACACCAAATTACCTAGCACCATGGCTGGCTTTCACAGTGATTTTTATATATTACTGTATAATATATATAAAAGATATTTATATTTATATAAATATTTATATATTTATATAAAAGATATTTATATTTTTTGGCATATTATATCAAGCAGTAGATCTCTAAATAAGCTATGCTTCTATGGCTGTTCAGCTAGACTTCTGTGGAAACTGAAATTTCCTATTACTCCATTTAAATTTTGCAATCAGAGAAACATGTAATTATTTACCATATAGCCACTCTGTGTTCAGATATTAGTACTTACTTCTATGTAAAACCATAAAAATTCTTTTCCTCTTGTCAGTGTAACATTCTTCCTCCAATTTCTGATAAGACATCATAGCACCTGCTTCACAATACCCTAGATTTGTCATTCAGAAATCTGGTCAGCTTATTTTCAGTGCAAGAGAATAGCTTATTATCTTGCTTTAGGGGATTGTGATTCTATTTTTAATTAAAATAGATTTATTTCCTTCTGTTATCACTAGGTTCAGACTGCATTTTCTCAAAATGGATTCAGGCCAAAAAGAAATGTGGAAACATGCAATGAATCCTATTAAACCTAAAATAGTTGTTTTAGCTGTATTCACTAGCCAGTCTGGTTTTGAGGTTTAACCCAAATCTTGCAAAGAACATCCAGTTCTTTCTACACTATACAATAGATAAGATTGATTCAGATTGTTAAAAAAATAACAAAAGGCAAATTCTATTTCATTCTCAGTCATAAGTGTGTTTATTTATTTCAATTTGATGAATACATCCTATGGAATTGATCTTTGAAGATGCTCAGAGTTCCCTGTTCTCAGTACTTCTCCCACAATTCTTAAAGCTTAACTTTTCAATTGCTGAAGAAAATTCTTTGAAATTGCAAGGATTTGAGCTTTTCCTGAACTTCTTTGCTTGGAGCAGGATGGTAAGGACAGTAGAACAGAACAGCACTTTACTCTGATAAGGACAGTAGAACAGAACAGCACAGCCTTGGAGCAGTAGATAAAGGACGGAACTTAGGCAAAGAGGAGTCATGCAAAACACAAGCAGGATGCCAGCTCAGCTCTGCCAGGCTGACAAAGCAGAAGTTATGCAAAACAACAACATTGTGCTTGCTCAAAAGTTGAGGTAGAGGAACAGCCACCTAGAAAGAACACCAGACTTTGAAGACAGACCCCAAAGAACCAAGTAAGAATTTCCAATAAGGGTTACAATGGTGTAAAATAAAGTAATATATAAACATCAAGTAAGTGGGCATAGACAATTAATATGTAATTAGTGTGTATGATCAAAACTCTGTTTACCTGATGCTTGGGGCACTTGATTAAGGAAGGATCTTCTGAGTAACCAGCATGCTGCAATATACAATTCCTACTTTGCAATACTCGAAACTGTCAGCAAGTCTCTGTCTGGCTGATTTCAGAATCAGGATTCAAGGGAAATTGATGTATGCAGACCATTAGGATTAAGGAAAACCCCTTAGCTGTTCTATTTGAATGTATGGAAAGAGGGCAGTGTCTTCACAATAATGTAGTTCTCTAATATTTGAATGTTGGGGTGATACTTAAACCTTAGTGAAGTAAAAGAGGTCACTTATTCCTGCTTCCTTGGAATTAGGATTTCAGACTTTCATATTAACCAGTAGCCTACACCATGAAAAACTTCATATTCTTAAATAAAAAGCTCCAGACTTTCATTTTCCTTCAAACCCAGTGACTTGTTCTATCTTGTGGCAGCACAGGCAGCCAAACACAAGTGATGTACCTATTTTTGCCTTTCTTCTGTTCCCTTTCCCTCCCTCAAGGATGTTGGCTGTTTTACCCTAGCAGGAAAATTAGGGCCAACGGGAGTGTTTGTGTGGTGACTCTAGAATTGTCCTCTTTTCTCAATATATCTGCATGTTAAAGCTTTAGCAGATGGAAATTTCTTTATTCTTCCTTCTGTGTGGGACAAAAGGAGATTAAATGCTGTCACAAAGGATGGATGCATCATTTCAGGTGCAAGACTCTCAGCTTCATGGCAGGATTTAATATCTCCTTGATGCTCATGTGGGAAGCTGCCTTTTCGGTTTTGGAATGCTGAGGTATCTGATCTGTTTGATGAGCAACTCAGGAATGAGGATTTCCTAAATGGGATAGAGGGAGGTACTGTTCAAGTCCACACTGCCCCACTTTGTGAAGTGTGGCAAATCTCACTCCTAAAATCCTCTGCAGAGATGCAAGGTAGCCATCCAAGAGAAGCTGCTTCCTTACCCAGAGGAAGCACGGACGTATTCACAGCCTTACAGCTGAGAAAAGCTTTCCAGAAGCCTTTATGGAGTACATTCCCCACAGGAATGTGAGTCTGCTCTGAGACCTTAAAGCAAGAATGCCATATTAACTTCAGAGCTGATGCCTTGCCTCATTTTACGATGTGTACTAATTTAATTCCTTGTCAGGCTATAGGGAATAAAGTGACAGCACAGATGCTGGGCAATTAAAATCAAAGTGTATATGAGGTGAATATGACCAGTGGCTGGTTACTTGCTGGTACCAGGTGGAGCACATCATTTCACCCATGGCTCATTGACAGCAGCACTGTGGGTGCTGACACAGCCACGTGTTAATTGCCTGCCTCCTCCCTATGTTTCACATCAGTTCAGGAGCTGAGCACCATAGACTTGTAAATTCTCCCCTTTCACAAATACCTATTTCTACTTGCAGTGGATTTTGTTGTGGGAAAGGATTTATAGGCCAGCACTTAGGACCATCTGGTCAGTGTTTAACAAGAAGCTGAAGCGTATTTTATTCATTCAGGGGCTACCCTCCTGGCTAGCAGCTAGCTGCCAGGCTCCCTAGGTCATTTTCCCCTCCCTGTCATATGCTTTAGAGACTGATGCAGTAAGTAAAAAGCAATCTCTAAGGTAAGTAATCTGTCTCACCTTACATATCTGTTCTACAGACATGTAGGACACCCAGGGTTAGGTACTGGGGTGTCAGACATTGGTGTACACAACCCCTCCTGCATCCATGCCAGAGCAGGCAGAAATACCTGCAGCCACGTTCTTCATCTACATCAGTCAGGTGGGAGGTTTCAAAACAATCTCAGCAGATCTAGTGGGGCTGCTGCACTCCTGCTTTCCTCCCAGACACACCCACCCACCTCATCCTTTGCAAAAGATGTTGATTTTCAGACACCTCCTTCACTGCACTGCCTTACCCCACAGTTGCCTGCGTCCTAGTGGCAGGGTAGGAGGCAGCTCACACAGCTGTGGAGGGCAGAAGAGTCCAGCTGAGACTGGGACGAGCTGCTGGGGAATCATGATGCTGCTTCTGCAACAAGCTGCCTCAACCCAGGAAAGGTGCAGCTGCACTTAGGAGGCAGCAGCAAGCCTCAGTGAAAGGTAAAATTGATTTGGACTTGACTGGGGCAAATGGGGATGCATGGCCCCTACGCAGCCAGGGCAACTGTGCCCACTCTGGCAGAGCATCCTCAGGCTGCTTGCCAAAGCCAGTGCAAGCATACCCATAGTCTATCTTCCTTTCACAGCACCTCTTGTGCTCTTCAAGCACTTTTATGTCTCAGCTTTATGTGGCCAAACTACACCCACTCAGCAGGTCATTCTGACAGACAAACTACTGTTGGCCTCCATCCTGCCCAGACCGATCCTCAGGGTACAGCACCCCTCAGCAAAACAAGACCTAAAGACAGAGCTGATCAGGGCAGTACAGAGAAATCCATGAGATGGAGGGATAACTAACAGACTTAAGTAACTCACCCTCCTCCTGACTCTACTGGAACAGAAAGCATTTTCCAAAAGGGTAGGGTTTATTCTCTCTGGTACATGCAACAAACACTCCATAGTTCAGCTTTTCAGAACGTCCTGAGCCAAAGACTTTAAAAGCCTTAGAAAATAGCTGGAAACATCACTAAGAACAAATCAACCAATATTTTTGTGACGATTTTTTAAGTAATTCTGCAATCAAAACCCCATTTCTTCTTCTTTGAATGGGCCCAATGCCTGGAAAATAGTGTCTGTAATTTAAATCATTAGCTTAAGTCATTAACTGCTCAACATCGTAGGTGTCTGACACCTCTTGTTTATTTTTAAATTTTAAATTTAGGAAGAATTCTTAGCCTTGGTCTTCTCATCCCTTAGCAGCGTTTGGTTTTGTTTTGAGAGTGTTTTTTTCCATGAAAGAGAATTTCCAGAGAGTAGCTAAATTAACCAGGACAGGAAGGCATGAATTTAGATACTTTTGTATTTGTGCAAACCCTGAAGCAGAAGACGTGGATGGGATTATATCCGCATGAATCCCACCTAAATTCCTGATAGCTGTGACTGTATTTTCCCCCAAGGATGTCCTCCCTTCCATATCACTTGAACTGTGATGAACTCACTACATAAAGCTAATAAACAGTCAAACAAATTGCTGTTTTGTCTGCCCAAGTTTTTCACTTCCTTTCTCCTCAATAGCTTATTCATCAAGCCAAACAAGAAAAAAACCCACAGAACTACTTAAAATAGTAGTCCAGCCAGCATATTGGCTTTGCTACAATGTGTATTACATGCAGTCTACCAGTAAGGAAAAGTGAAATTCACCTCATCAAAGTTTACAAATTTGTTTGAGGATAATATGTCAGTAGAAAAGCAGATACATATTTGAGACCCAAATTAAACACCAGTGCACAGTTCTTAAGTTACATAGTCACTGTTACAGCTACTGTTTATTAGCAACCCTTTGGAAACCTCAACCAAAACATTTAAAACACTGGTTTAACTTTTAGTTCATCTGATCTAGTCTCTTACATTTTACTCAACCTGCGCTTTAGAGGAACTGCCATCCACAGTGCTGTAAATAGAAGAGACCTCCAGATATTTGAGACACAGAAACAATCAATTTATGCTCAAACAGTGGGGTATTTCTCCCATTGACACTTAAAATATCTGTTGATTTTAGTGTGGCAAATATTTAGTTCTAAAATGGCTTTTGTTTTCTAAGGGCTGGTGCCTATCATTCCTTATTTCTTTTGGCATTAATGGCATTGTGTTTGATAACACAAACTGTTCCCATCTTAGGAATCAGGTCTTATCTTATGTGCCAGATGTCAGGGCTCATGAAGGCAGCTGGAGACAGAGTCCATTCCTTTACCTATAGAAGGAAAGGTCTGGCCCAAGGGGCTTTCACTCTGTACTTTTGTTCAAATATTCAAAGCTCAGTTTAAACATCACAACTGTCTATACAAGCACAACAGAGTGAACTCCATGACTGAACAGTTATGGAAGCAGGGAATTCCCTCCTTCCTACCATGCCAGGCAGTATTGACAGGACTGTGTGCACTCCCAGGCCATGGCTGGAGGGGCTGGATAGCCTGTCCCTGTCCAGAGGTAGCAGGGATCATTAACACTTCCTACTTCTGTCAAAGTCTAGGATCAGTACCACAGCAAATCCTTTGTCATCCACAGAGATGATTCAGGAATGAGAAGAAGGAAAAAGATGAAAGATATAAATTAAAAACTGTAGGATTTTTCTGGTGCTTCTATGTCATACAACTACACACTTCCCTGCCCCCAGAGCTATCAGGCGCCCATAATAGGGCTGGGAGCAGCAAGTGTTCCCCACAAAGCAGAGTTTTGCTTCAGGTATAAGGGAAATTCCTCTTCCTTGATGCATTGTGGCAGCAGCAATCTAAGAAGACAGATGCTCCTGAGAAGAGTTGACCTGAATTCATGAAGTTGTTTTGCACTGTCTAAACACGAGTATATCTTATGTCTTTGGTATTAAATGACCTTTGGAACAGCACTTCAGATTTATCCCAAATTGACAGTAACTGACAGGCATAAACTACATAAGGCCAAAAGGAACTTAAATTGAAATAAATAAGCTCTTAGCAATAGTACTAAGAACTTGGCCATGCTGAGCAGAAGGTCTGTCATTAATTCTGCTCCCAGGCAGGTGGGTGACCACAAGTAACAACTTGAGTGAGTGAGACTCTGCCCCTATCCCCAGTTTTCAACATAGCTGAGTCAGTGCAGTCAGTGCATCCTGCAGGACCCAGGTGTCCTCTCTCTGTGGGGCAGGAGAGAACATAGAAATGCCTATGAGAAATATTTCTTCTCAAAGCCTCTTTATTCAGACCTGCAATCCCTCTCCTGCCTTTCTCAGAACCAAACAACCACTTTAATTCACAGCAGTCCCCTCAGTGAG